CCCTACTAGGAGCCCGAACTCCCTACTAGGAGCCCGAACTCCCTACTAGGAGCCCGAACTCTCCCTTAGGCCCCGAGCCTCACACAAGGCAATGACCCAAACTGGCCCGCCTCATGGCAGTTCGGGACACTCCCCTATCCGAACTCAAGACCACCTCGCTCACCACTCCAGCACTTCGCCTCCGGGACGCCGAACTGAACAAACGTACCATACCTGACACTGAGGAGGTCTGTATCCAAGGGCAGCGCACTTGACTGACTTGGGATCTGACGCTTGACAGCCGCACCCCAACGACCACCTGCCACCGCCATCTCTAGTTGCAGAGACGACTCCGACAAAGAGAGTAGTGGCAGTTTTGTCCCAGCAGAGGTTATGACACCCAAACTGGCAGGAGCGCAGGGATAATCATACCCGACCTGATAGAAGCTTAGGAGTAAATGTGCGAGGTGGTTATAAAAGGCTCCCTACCCCCCAAGAACAAGGTATGTGAACTTTGCGCCATCTGGTTTTATCTTGCCTTTGAGAGAATCGTAACTTGAGCTTCGGAGCAATCTCACCGGGTTCTGCCTGGAGTTTCCTCATCTTCTCCGTTTCAGGTTCCTTGTAGCTCCGTTCGGGGCAAGGTCGTTGATAGCTAGGACCGGCCGGATTGCGCACCATCAACAACCAACAAGAAAAATGAGCCTCAAATACACCATGCAAGCAAGAGAAATCAAACCCTCAAGAAAGCCTTAAACAAAAAGAAAACAAAGCCCTAAAAAAGACAATGCACTTACAAATCCTAAAACAGATTGAACAATCCTTATAGGCATGCAATGGTGAACAATTGTAGAGAGAGATGAAGATAGGACCATGAGGATATTCTTGCAATTGAAAGCCAGATCAAAGAAATAATGAGCGGGGTTAGGAAGACATAAGTTTAGGGAGAGAAAGAGATAAAGGGAAGATAGAGACATGCCTAGGAACAGTGTAAGGCAGCAAAGCGATCAACAGATTGAGGAGTAAACCAGAGAGATCATTCCTAAGATTTACTCCAATTCGGTTTATCGAGTGAACAATGTTGGATGAAGAGGCTACTGAGGAGTGTTGATAAAGAGAGACAACTTGTTAAGAAGAAACGATGAGAGAGATAGTGAGAAAGGGCTTAAACCGGCTTTTCCATTGGCGTTTCTAGCGAGGAGACAAGAAGACAATAAGAAGGAAATGGAGGTAGTAGAGAAATTTCAAGGGAGGGTGGGGGAGGCACAAACTCGTGCGGCACGTTAAACGTATGATATCATTCAATAGATTTCGCACGCTTACTTTATGTCGCTCGTGGGGATCATACTGCCACGAATGACAAGAGTAGAGAAAAAGGTTTTATAAATGGGTCAAGTAGTGATTTTGGTCTATGATAAGGAGGGGTGTAACAGGGGTTGGGTTGGGTTGAGCATTTATCAAAAATTGAATGGACCCAAAACTGATGTAATTGAAACTTGAAAGTTGTCAATTCGGCAAGAGGGCAACCCGATCTGCAGCCATAGTGAATAATGCCTTATTGCAGATCGGGTCGGGTCTCAAGATTAGGGAAAAGGTTTTATAAATGGGTCAACTAGTGAATTTTGCTCTACAATAGCCAGTAGGGATGTAACATGGGTTGGGTTGAGCATTTATCAAAAATTGAATGTGCCCGAAACTGATCTAGTTGAAACTTGAAACTTATCAATTCGGCAAGAGGGCAACCCGACGACTTGCAGCCATAAACGACGTAGTGAATAATGATGCCTTGTTGAAGATCGGGTCAGGTCTCGCTCCAACTGATTTTTTCTTTTTCTTTTTTTTTTTATTTTCTTTTTGTAATTTTTAGTGCTTCTTCTAGGGTGAAATAAAGGGCGCCTGCTTGTGATTGAAAGTCCGGGCATTTAAAAATTCAGAATCGTGATTGTAGAGTAACTTATCGGAAACAATGGGTGCTCAACCAAAGTGATAAACCTGATTTTTTTTTTTTCTAAAATGCAGAACGGTTTCGAACGGGGCCTACTAAATCTGATTTTCTAAAATGCAGAAGTGGTAAATCTGATTTTCTTCTCTCCCTCTCATTCGTGGCGGTAAAATACAAACAAATGGTTTAAATCAGTGCTGTCTAACATCTGAGTTTGTTTGTAAGAACCACCAAGCATGAAGCATCTCAACAACTGTCTTGGAGTCTGCCAATTTTTTTGGGTAAATTACACAAACCCCTATACTATGGAGTCACTGACAATTACCCCTGTGAATTTTCACTTTGCCACATATACCAATTGGCCATTTAGTCATATACTCATATGATATTATGCTGGCATTAAATTACCAAAATATCCACTTGAATTTATCTTATTTTCTTTTTCTTATCGTTTTCTCTTAAACCCTAATTAGCTCAAAAATGTCTCCATTTTTCCACAAATAAATCAACTAAAATAGCAAGAATCATTTTACTTACATAAAAAAACAAATTTCTTGAAACTATTGTTTCATTTCACTGACATGAATATTTTTCTTCATTTTAAAATAAATAAAAAATTATCCACTCTTTTTTTTCAATAAATTAAGAAAAATCAAACAAAATCTTAAATTTATATCTTTTTCTTTTTAAAAACATAAATTAATATCTATCAAAAAGAAATTTCTACAATTTCATTTGAATATTAAGTTTAAAAATCTACAAGGATCTATTAAAACAACCGAGAGGACTTTAATATTATATGTGGAAAACTTATCAAATCATAAATTGTTCAAATAACTAAGAAAAGAGTAATTTGGAGATTTAAAAAATTCTAAACAGCTGAATGAGAATCATTTTTGAAGTTAAGTGAAGAACTCCAATGGAATAGGTATTTATTGCAAGGTAAAATTTTAGGGAAGTCCTTGTTGCAAATGAAATTCAAGGGGATAATTGTCAATGGCGCCATAGTACAGGATTATTATTATTATTATTATTATTATTATTATTATTGGTTTTATGGGCTACCACACGGGGTTTGATCCGAGGCCTCTACTATAATGATTCACCACTCACCACCAGTTGGTAGGTGACATTGGTTTACACACTTGATATCACCAATCACATAATTTTTTAGGTTAAATACTTAAATTATCCTTAGGTTTAGCAAATAAATACAAACTTATCTGTTTAAGAAATTACTAAAAGTACCCCAAACATTTTTAACAATGGACAAAATCCTTCCCTATTGTTAGCACATTCATACAATCCATTCACATGCGATGTCACATGATATATAATTTTTTTTAATTTCAAAATTACCCTTTTGTGATCTATTTTGCCCTTCATTTCTTTAAATTTTTATTTCACYAGAAATCAAATTGCTCTAAAAAATTTAAGAAAAAGTACAGATAGACCCAATACAGATTTCTGAATCTCATTGCAGATTTAAACATTCAAAATGTCAAAAACCCCCCATTCTATACAYCAATGGCCACCCGTAAATTGGCATCAATTCTGAACTGTCACCTACTCCGACTGTACTTTGGGCGTAAAAATTCTGAACTTGGGCTGAACCGTCTTTCTCCCAAAATTTTGACAGGGAGTGCTGATTTTGAATGATGCGGTGGTAATGGCGGAGTTTGGCGTTTTTGAAGGAGGGAAGTGGTGGTAAAGTATGGTGAACCCTGGAGTGCTGGCTTCGGACGAAGGATGGAGGGAACGAGAGGCGTTTTTGCGCTGATGCTTGGTTGTTTCTATGTGAGGTTTCCGCCCTAAGGTTTCAGATCAGGAGGCTTGGGCGTGTCAGGTGTGGAGCTGCAAATCGGCCTTGGGCGTAAGGTCGTTTGACTGCACCAGGTTTCTTTCATTTTTCCCTTGAAAACCCAATGCCCTACTAGCTCTAAGTTTAGCCGTAACATTTATTTGGGCTATCCCCTGTCTCTACGAGATATAAAACGGATCTTCTTCTCAAACCTAGCACCATTTTTTTCTTCGGAGAAGTATCTTTCCTTTCCATGGACAGCCTGACACCATTTTTCTCTCCTCAACCTCTGTAAAATCCCCCTTCAATCATCGTTCGTTGTATTCTGTTATGTGGAGTGTGAGTGCAAGAATTTCATTCTATGCAAAGAGAGATATACAGTAGAGAGAAATAGAGGAATAGTAAGAAGGAGCTACAGCGTGCTTAGAAGCTCCGTTTCTGAGTTCAATGGAGACACAATTGTAAGATCTGTTTTAAGTTCTTCACCAATAGGAAGTATCAGTGTGGGACATGCAAGGTGTTTCGCTCTGCTCTTATCAAGCCTTGGGCGGCCATAGAGCAAGTCACAAGAAGATCAATGGTTGTACGCCATCTTCCTCTGGGCACAACTCACAAGAGATCTTTGCTTCTGGACCAGCTCTTGGTGGGCACAAGAGATCTCACCTTTCTCGTCGGGATTCATGATCAGAACTTCTTTTTGAGACATCTTATGCATGGCGATCATCATCCCGGCGCCGCTTGCGATGGTAACCTCTACCATGCCTATGGTAACCCCCATGCCCTTGACCACTATGTCTAACATTATGAGATGGCATGACAGGTGGAAAGCACCCAAATACCTGCACCATAATCTATTAGGTGACTCTTAGCTAATTGACTAACTTTATCCTTATTATTTAATTATTGTTATCGAATATTATAARTTTTCTAACAATTGACTAATTATTTCCTACCTTTAGGGTTTTCTCAGTAACAATTGACTGTTACATTTTGATAAAATGAAAGATATTAAATTTCAATTTAGTATCCTGAACTTTGGAAGTAGTGTCAAGTTAATACTCAAACTTCAAAATGTTAATGCATTACCCAAATTTTGGAAAACTTTCAATTTGATCCCTACCATTTGTACTCCGTCCTTTATATCACTCACGTGATGACATGCGACGATTGAAACTTTTCAATATGTCCAAAATACCCTTTATGCACATTTAAGGACTATTTTACCCTTTTCCAAACTAATTTAATATTTTCCTAAATGTAGGGTTGGTAAAAGCTCAACAATGAAGATTGGGTGTCATTGCGTGTTTATCCAATCTACATCAACGGGAGAACGACTGGCATTCAATTATGAGACAAATATATTAATTAATGTCAAAAAGTGTACATTAATTAACCATCTTCCCAGGCTTCCTCCTCTATCACCTATAGAATGGCCATTGTTGTTCTTGTTCTTAATAGAATAAGCATTCCAATCACTCACTCTCTCTATTTCTCTCTTTCAATCAATCTATCTATCATTCTCACAACATCGGGTATTCATCCATACGTCCCTTTTAACATCCCATCTTCCCCAATTCTTTCTTCTTTCTCTTCTTCACAATTCATTTCTTCCTTCCAAAAACCCTCTCTCCTATCTCACAAAAACCTTATGACCAACCCATAAAAGATCACCAAAATTGAGGGAAAAAAAGAAGAAATAATAGAGAGAAAAGAGAGGAAATCTTCCGCTTCTAAATGAAAGATCCTTAGTTGAGTCAGAAGAAAACCTAGCTACAACTATCAAATCCAATCTGCAACCAGAAGAGAAATTGGAAGAAGAAAACGCACAGGAGAAATCAAAGAAGAGAGGGAGAGATAATCGCCAAGGAACCCGAGGAAAGAGTAAAATATTAATACCCAACAAGAAGATTAAAGGGAAAAGGCAGAATAGTTACGGAAAGAACATTGGGTGGTAGAGCCAAACTTCGGCGAAGGTCCGTTGGCAACGGGTGGTGGGGGCGCAGAAGGATCATCAGCAGCTCTGCCGAGTAGGTATGAGTCACAGAAGAGGCGAGACTGGATCACATTCCTACAGTACTTGAAGAACCACAAGCCCCCTTTATGCTGGCAAGGTGTAGTGATGCATTAATCGAGTTCTTGAAATAGTTAGACTAGTTTGGAAAGACAAAGGTGAACTTAACAGGGTATGCCTACTCTGGACACCCATAACAACTTGTTGAGAAATCTTCCGCTTCATCCTTTACTCCGATAATGGCAAAGCCTTCTTCCAATATTCTCTGTCAACGGCGGCAGCCTTAAAACTAGTCTCTTGTGTTAAATGGTTCGTAACGAACTTCAAAACTATGGTAGACAAGGGTTTCTTCTAACTTGATTGTTGGCGGCGAATGAAAACACCGAAATTCTGTTAGACAGTTGTATGTCCTTAGCTTCAATCAGAAATATGTACATTATGAATTTATTGTAAATGAATAAAGTACACATTTGATTCATGTTCATGTGGTGTGTTTCTGTGTAATACCCTTAAACTGGACACTTAATGAGACTTGTGTTAG